ACAAAAGTAAAAACCTATCTTTTTTTCTTTTTTTTTATGAATATAAATTTTAGTTTTTTTTTAAGACAAATGTAAAAACCTATCTTCTTCTTTTTTTATGATATTTTTTTTTATGATATTATTATCTTTCTTTCTTTTTTCTTTTTCTTCTTTTTTTTTTTAATAAAGATAAATTTTTAGCTTTTTTTTTTAAAACAAAAATAAAAACCTATCCTCTTTTTTTTTTATGAGATTATTTTTTTTAATAACAAAAAGTGAATTTTGCACAATAACGTCATTAGGATTCGTTTTTTATGATCATTTTTTATGATATTATTTTTTTTCGTTTCTTATGATCGTTTTTTATGATATTATTTTTTTTTAATGACAAAAAGTGAATTCTGCACAATAACATCCTTGGGATTCGAATGTAAAACGTCATGTATAAGAACTGCTAACCACGGTAGCCCCTCACGCGCTGCTGAAGAGTTTTGTACAATAATTATCTATATTGTATGAATTTTCAATATAATATGGCTTAACGCAAGTCCCACATCGAAGAATTGGAGAAATTGTAAAAGGTATAAATACCTTTATAAAAGCCTTAACGCTAGCGTAATGGAGAGAAATGGTACACCAATTATGATATTTTGAAAAAAATTACGGGGTGTCTGATTCTTGTGTCGACTCGGGGTTTTGCAGAAGAAGTCCGTTGTGACTAGCCGATTTTTAAAACCCTTAATTGAATGAACACCTCGTGTCGACTCGGGGTTTTGCAGAAGAAGTCTGTTGTGACTAGCCGATTTTTAAAATGCTGAATTGAATGATTTTCAGGGTTTCTACATGGTTTTGCAGAAGAAGTCCGTTGTGACTAGCCGATTTTTAAAACCTTGAATTGAATGATTTTCAATGTAAAAAAACCCTGAATTGAATGATTTTGAGTGTAAAGTGGGACTGGTTTATGTTTGTCAAATTGCTAATAAAAGGGTTGTTAATGCCAAATATCTTAGCTTTTTTCAAATAAAGTGTTTCAAAACTAACTATTTCTTATTTTTTGCTGGACCATATGAGTTTTGTGGTCTTTAGGGACCACCCTTCTTTTAAACTCACTTTTGCATTTTGTTTTTAACATGAGGCGATTGTTCTACCACCTTCGTCGCAAATTTGCATCCCCCATTTATCGATTTTTGACACCTTCCCATGAGATGTTACGTTTGTTTACCTCTCTCCTCTTTCCTACTCTCTCACTGGAGAATAGGGAGCTTCTTGTTGATTACATAAAGAAGTTAAAAATTCTGGGTTAAAAATAGATTTATTCCCGTTAACAGGAAGCCTGACAATGACCTCTCTCTCAGTTCATAGTTCTATCTCTCACTAATTTTGACAGAACCATGCGGTTTCTCTGATGTGTGGCTTTGTTGTCATCTAACTAAAACAAAAAGGTAGGGGTTCAATGCTGATATGTGATGAAGATTTATTATCAATAAAAACTCACTTGTCCCCCCACTAATTGTTTGCATATTAGTTTACACTCCATACATATCTCTTAGAAAGTCCATGTAGTGTCCGGATGCTCCTTTCTTTTCTAACACCTATCAAATCAAATCTCTAGATACTATGTCATTTCTCTATTATCAATAAAATCCATATGGAGGTTTTTCCTCTTTGCTCTAAACTTCTCAATCAATTGTGTAAATAGAAGAAAATAGTCTCGGTTGTTGACCTCCTTGACATAAAAATGAATTAGTGTTTTGACACATTCATTTTATGCCTTAATCGCTGTTCAATCACTCTCTTCTACTGCTTCATAATATGACTCATAAAATTGATCCTTCGGTAGTTCACATAATTCTGTATGTTTCTTTTGTTTTTATAAATAGGTACTAAAGTACTTTTCCTCCTTTGTTTGACATTTTCTTTGTTTTCAACATCTTATTAAATAGCTTGATCAGCCAGTCAATATCGTATACTACCAAAGCTCTATCAAAATATCATTTGGTCTTAAAGCCTTTCATATCTTCATCATTTTCAAAGCTTCTATTACTCCCAATATATTAATCTTACAGATGCATCATGACCTCCACCCTTATTTACGTCAACAATTCCTTCTACAACTATATTCCCATTGTATTCGTAATTTAATAATTTTTTATGAACACAATATATATATATAACTTAAAAGGTGTGACCTAACACAAGCTAGGTTTATAGACCAAGATTGGGCAGGTCTAAGCCCAACACCCATTCCAACATATGAGGGCTTAAATGGCACCCAATCAGGCCTAGATCCTGTGAGGCGTACAAAAAATTCTTGGCCTTTTGGGATGTACTCTAAGCTATTCAACTTGACTTGATAGCTAGCTAGGATTAGTTGTTACCTCCTTATTCTAAAATTAAAAATAAATGGTCCAATAGTATACAATGGCTAAACATAATTATAAACCTATTTGTAGTAACATCCCAATACCATGTCAACACGTTCCCAATACTGTCAATACTTAAATACATGCCGATACATAAGGATACTATAATGAACAAAAAAGGCCACGAAAAACTCAGTCTTAAGGATCAAAGCAGGAGCTCAACAAACTGCAACTCCAACACTTTATCTTAAATGTAAGGCGAATAATTATTGGGCATATATAAAAAAATATATATATAAAGTTGCAACCTTATCTATATATTTAAAGCAAACCTAAAAATCCAGTAAAAAATATTGCTTTCAAGTGGGAAAATTTTCCAATTGTTAATCTCAATCTCAAAATGTATGGTAAAAAGAAAAAAAAAGACTTTCAAATACTAAAAATAGTTCTTATAACAAATTATTTGGACCGCCTATTTTCAAGTTTTTGCAGTGTCTATAAATCTGCTCAATACCTTCTTTTAAATCTTAGACTCTATAATTAAGGTTGACCATAGATTTTCAAACCATCATGAGGCTTCCAACAACAAAACTACATCTTCTGAAAAATTTTAGAGGTGAGTTATACATATAATTTTAGAGGTGAGTTATACATATATCGTATAAAGTGGGTACCTTATACAAACCTCAACCGATGTAAAAATCATATTATTTTATTCAAAATATTGCATGCCCGGAGGCGTCTAGCCATATTAGTATTTTGTGCTGAAGTACTAGACACTTAAAAACACGTGTTAGTCACGACATTTGTGCAAGTGCACATGGAACGCCAGTGATCAATAAGGATAAACACTAAGAAAGATTATTTCTACTGTCTCGAGCATAAATATTAAAAATTCTTTATTGGCGCTTTATTGCTGGACCTCCGTTGCAGCCAAAGCTTTAAAACATTTCTACAACCTAGGGAGAGCCATAGCAGAATTATTTCACTAGACTAAAATCATAAAAAGTGCCCATTATTTCATTGCTAAATCTTCACGTGTATGCTCTTCTGTGTCATTCTCAAGTTGAGGGTGGCACCTGCCATTGTTGAGGCAATGGACCAATGTCATATATAATCTCTCTATGGCAAGACCATACCAGCTTTATAGCATCTGGTGTTCCTATCCCTGCACCTCTTGGGTCACCTGCTGGTCCAAACCTGTGACAAAAAGAAGCATTTTCTTTAAACTTCCATATCTTCTTACATACAAAAGAAACCCTATTAAAACCACTCTCTCTCTAATCTCTCTTTCTCCATATTTTAATTCAAAATAAGTTTTAAAACTATAGGACAGAACTGTGTAATAATTTATCCTAAGATATAACAACAGTAACAAAGATATCATTTTAAGAGATACTATGGCTCGAGTTACCAGTGATTTTGTGGGGCACCAGTAGTGCGTGCTCGAATCCCAGCATATGTTGTCCCATTCACAGATCTCCCCAAAACTTCCTGAACTCAATAATTGAGACTAAACATCACAAACACAGACACTGGCTCGACAAAAGCATTAGAGAGAGGGAGTGAATAACAGAGATTTATTTTTCATGTCAAGAGACAAAGCAAGGCTTAAATTTTGCATCTCAGACAAGTTTGAATTTGGGCTATTTTTGCTAAAAATTTCGTCCTATGCAAACGTCTTCTTTAACTTTGAGCCTGAGAACAGCATAGTTGCCAATAATAATTGGAAGCATGCCCAAGATAAGTCATTTCTCAATAAAGAAAAATCCACCAGAAATGGTAGCCGGCTTGTGCACACCAGCCAAGGGAGGAAATGAACTTGGATCAAAATCTGGTGGTTGGTTGTTACAAACCGCAGTAATAATAGAAAGTTTGCTAGTTTCAAGGGTAGGAATCAAACTTGGACGAGTGTTGCAATCGCCAACAACTAACCCATTCAAGCCCAAGCCCAATTCCTACATTAACAATAGAAACTTCACCCAAACAAAAATGATATACATTGAGAATAAAAGTAAAATTGGTTTCTAAAGGGCACTTACTTGAAGAAAGATGGGGTCGTTGGAAACCACAGCTGCAGTCAAATGTGCATGCATTCTCTCACATGCATCTAAGACCATGGGGAGCTGATCATGTTTATATTCCGTCAAAATCTGACAAACACAAAGAAAAACATCTATTAAATAAATTAGCAGAGATTTTCTACTAAAAATAAATATTATTCAGAATCAGATGACCAACATTATGAACAAGATCCTCCAACAATATCATTGGAATAAACTCTCCATTTCAGAGTGATAATTAACATGATTCTTATCAAAAGTAAAGAAAACAATAGTAATCGCATTCACACAATGGCAACAAATGCCAGTGGCGATCAGATTAATATATCACCATCACCACCACTATCACTATTATTAGTTTATGACCATTACTACTATGGAAGTTGTTATTCCCCGAACAGAAAACCAACATGGGGGTTATGATTGTTCAGGCATTTATATCATCCAACTAAAAGTATTCAAGCATTTTGGGAGAACTAGAAAACATTAGACTTCAGGTATGCATAGGTTACCATCTTCATTTTTTCATTCTGAATTGAAACTTTTTTTTTTTTTTGAATTTTCATTCTTAATTGGAACTTATTGCATTGTAAATTAACACAGTCAGGAACAAAAGGGAGAACTATGGGTCCCCAAGACATGAATCGTGTCAAGATACCAATAACCATCCCGATCTTGATTGGACAATTTGGCAGTGAACCACAACAATGTCACACGTTAATTGCAGCCTGACAAGAACATCTAGCACTAATATGTGATGTTGTTGTCAGCCCAATGTCAGCCATCAGGATCAAGAGCATATGGCTAGTGGTCCCCAGGCACAAAAACAAACAATGTGTTCATGGGGACGCATAGAAAAGTTTCTGCAAACAAAATAGTTTTCAAGTTTCATATTTTTCTTTTTGATCCACTTCGGTTTCATATATCTGATTGTCACAGAGTATTGCAGATCCTCTATTGAGGCATGTCTTGTTATGTCAGTCCCACTCTCCAGCACCTTCAATCAATGCATTGGATGGTGATGTCCCCATTGGATTGAATACTCAGTGCCTTTGATAGTAGCATACATTTTTCTTTTGAAAACACATCTGTCAGTAGTATTCATTTCCTTTCTAGCAATTGGAAATGTTTTTTATTCAAGTGCATATATGGATACTATGACTTGAAATCTCAATAGAAAATATAGTTGGGATGGGAGATCCAGCAAGAACCTCAACTCTTTACCTGAAATGGACCAAAAATTTCTGTGGTTGCAAGCTCAAAGTTCTTGTCTTTCAGAATTTCTTCAAGTGGTATAAAAACAGCAGTTGGTTTTATGGCTCCATAAATTTTTGGAATATTATGGTTTTCTAAAGGCTCTCCCCCAAACAGCAGCTTTGAACCTGGAATTTCAAGCAACTTGTTCATATGTGCAAGCATGCTTTCAGTGGTTACCTGCAAGCCCAGATGGAACAACATAAGCAAGTTTGCAGTCACCAAAAATCAATAAACAAGAAAGAATCAATTGTTTTCAATAACATAAACTCATATATCACAAAAGGTAAAGAAGAAAGATATGTGAAAAAAAACCTCCATGATGAAAAAAAACCTCCTGAAATTCATCCCCAAAATTAAAAAAAAAAGGCCTTATCCTGTGGCGACACTAGTTCTGAAGAATAACGAAGCATGGAGCTCCTTTCAAACAACATTTTACAAAAAATGAAGTATATTGCCACAATATAAATCAAAAAGAAATTATAGTAGAACCACTGCGTAAAGTATTAGGTCTGTCTCACACCTTGAGTTTCACATTCATGGATCTCAATTTACCTTCATGATTTCTGGCATCTACAAACATGTTTTAACTGCTAGGTGTTTTCCTCTAACATCGTGTGTCAGAATTCTGTTTTGAACTTTTAAGGTCTGTTATGTGTGTTGTGTATGCATGGTATGTGAGTGTTCAAGGCATTCAACAAAGTTACAAAAACTAACATTATGTCTCAAACAGAATGAATTGATACGACTTTGTGAGTTTCATTCCTTCAAAATATGCGTAAAACGAAAGAAAGTCGCATATCTCACATAACACATGTGCATATTAGTTATTAATTTATCAATAGATTCTACAAAACATATAACGTACTTGACATAGACAGTAAGCTATCATGTGAACGAAGGATGTAATTTGTATATGCATCCAGTGTTTTAAAATGCGGGATGCGGCCCTGATGCAGTGGGGGGCCAATAATGCTGCGATGCGGCCTGGATGCGGGTGCATCGCGATGATGAGGTCAATAAATGTAAAAAAATTCTAAAAAATCTAAAAAAATAAGTTAATGCATAGAAAAAAAATATGAAGGTGATATATGTGATAGTAGGTATTTTAGTTTAATGATTAACTTCAAAACTATTAGCTGTCGGAGATTCTGTATCCAGTTATCCACTATCCCCTGAGAGAAACTAGAAATTTGAAATCAGCTTCATAAAGCATTCAACAATCAACAACCATCAACACAAACTTCCACCACAAGCACAACTATAATTAAACACAACCATCAACAACCATAAGTACAACCATAAGCACAAAATAATGATATTACAAAATACAAATCAAAAGTCAAGCTTAAGAAGAGTTAATAGTTAATAAATAATAACTTAATACAATCATCCATTTTGAGAGTCAGTTTTGAATTTGAACTTCATTTTTTCAAATATCAATAAGACAAATCATCTTGAGAGTCATCATGCATCATCAATATCATCCTCGATGGCCTTCATGTATTCTTCTTCATCGGTCTCCTCTGAGTCGGCTTCCTCCTCGACCTCTGAAGCTAATGTGCGAGTGCGACTAGACCCAGCAGCTCCTCTACTGCTTTGTGCTCTAGTGTTAAGTCGATCTTCTTCATTAGCCCCTGTTGCTAGCTCGACATCAAGCCATGTAAGATCCTCACCCTCAAACACACGCTCTTGTCTTGGATCCATGGTCCACTCACTTATGGAATCACCATCAGCTTCATATAATTGAATAGGGTTGAGCTTCGTGCGATTTTCATACCTCTCCCTAAGCCGCTCGTTATACCTCACATAAACCAAATCATTCAACTTTTTATGCTCCAACCTATTTCTTTTTTTTGTATGGAGCTGTGGTAGAAATTTGAAATCAGATAAATTAGATTTTAGATTAGAAAATTGAAATTCAAGAAATAAGGATTAAGGAATAAGGAGTAAAGGACTTACATGCTCAAATGCACTCCAATTGCGCTCACAACCAGATGAGCTACATGTGAGATTCAACACTTGAATAGCGAGACATTGTAGATTTAGTGTCTCGCTTCCATATAATGCCCACCATGCAGCTGTATAATATTTTAGAATTTAGAATATAGTTAAAAATTAAGGGTATAAATAAACAATAGAACTATACATAAAGTAAGAGACAAGTAAAGATTATTTTTGGGCTTTTGGCCTTTACCTGGATCTGTAGTGTCCCTATTTCGAGTGGCAATATCTCTCCCAAAGTTTCCCAAGGCTAACTTGAACTTAATCAATTCATGGTTCTGGATCTCAGCCAGGATATCTTTGTCTAGCACCAACCTCTCCAGCACATCTAAGAACCCACCATTTATTACACGATCTAACTCAATGGATGGGTGCTTGTAATGAAGAGATGGGTTTAGAAAATAACCGGCTGAATGGAGGTGCCTGTGAAGCTGGATATCCCATCTCCTATCAATAATTTCAAGTATAGCCTTGCGCATATTTTCATCATCCTTTAAAACATCTTTTATTTCAATTCTTGCCCTAGTCATTGCCTCATGTATGTAGCCCATGGTGGGCTTCGCATCACCATCAACCAGTCAAAGCATTCTCACTAAAAGGCAAGCCACCTCCAATGCAATAATTATTTGACTCCAAAAAGATGTATTCAGAATAACTTTTTCAGCCTTTCTCCCATCCTTATGCTTTGACTATTTGCTTTGACTCCATTGCTCTGAAGCAAACATGGTCCTCAAGACACTTTTTTGCTTGGCTAGGCTTCGAAGAGTGAGAAATGACGTGGCAAATCTAGTGATACCCAGTTTCACTAATTCTCTCTTCTTTGTAAAAGACCTCATCATGCTTAGGACTATGGTGTGATTGTAAATAAAGTCAACAACAAACATAGCTCTTGAAATCACCCCACTAAATAAAGATGTTATACCTATTTCTTTAAGCATAAGATTAACACAGTGAGCTACACAAAAAGTCCAAAACATATGCTTCCTTTTCAAAGTCAAGATATGCCCAGCTGCAGCATAGTTGGCACCATTGTCAGTGATAATTTGTACCACACTTTCTCCCCAACAAAATCGACAATCTCATCCATCAAGCCAGATAAGTATGTACCATCATGTGACTTGTCTGATGCATCAATAGACTTAAAAAAAAAAGTACCTGTTGGGCAGTTAACCAAAAAATTAATGAATGCCCTTGATTTCCCATCGAACCAACCATCACACATAATAGTGGCCCCATATTTCTCCCACCCTTCTCCCTGAGAAATCAAAATTTTATTCACATCAAATACAACATCCTTCAACAAGAGCTCTCTAACCTCATGTAGTGAAGGAGGAATAAGTCCTGGGCCATATTGCCCAATTGCCTGGACCATACACGCAAAACTATCCAAAGTTATAGTATTAAAAGGAATGTCGGCCATGTAAATCCACTTTGCAATCCACTTACATACCGACTTCCTTTGTTCTTTCTTATATTTATTGTCAATTCTGGTTTGTTTTGTTTTTTTCTTTCTCTTTTGAACCACAATTTCAAGGCTAGGGGTGAAAAAAGAATCCATTGGCCCCATAGAGAGAGGTGTTCTTCTCTGAGCACTACCACCAATA